CCTATACAGGATCGCTATGGATCAGAATTGACTCAACGGCACTTGACAACAGCAATACAAGGTGGGGAAAACTCAGATTTGACTCAGTGGCAACAAAGAACAACATTGTAGCTATTGTTAGATGCCGTGGATTGAGCTCGGGCTCATAGCAACCCTCTGCATAACAGAATGAAACACTGTGAGGTCCTGTACCATCCTCACAGTTGTCTTCCTTGAACCCATTGCTGTTGTCGCTGTATCAGTTCATCTTGTTGGGGAGGTGGTCTTCCTCTTTTTCCCTGACCCTCCACTTTTTCCAGTATGAAGTCCTTCTCCAGGTATCCGTCCCTCCTGATAACATGTCCAATGTACATTACTCCCAATGAGCAACCCAACCGTGTTTCTTCCAAGAAAAATTTGTTTGTTCTTCTGGCCGTCCGTGAACTTTCATCATTCTTTGCCAACACCATAATTCAAGTGCATCCATTCTTCTTTTGCCTTCTTTTCCATTATCCAGCATTCACATGAATATGAGGTGATTAAAAATACCCTGGCCTGGGTCAGGCATACCTTATTTGCTCTTTTGCAGCAGATTTGCAAATAGCACAATGCAGTATGTTATTTGATGTCTTCAGTGCTGCTTCCATGAGCGTTGACTTTGTGATGCCAAACAAAATGAAGTCTTTGACAACTTCAGTCTTTTCTCCATTTATCATGATGTTATTTATTGGTTGTGAAGATTGGTGGTTTTTTTTACATTGAGGTTGCAACCCATATTGGAACTGTGGTCTTTGATCTTCATCAGTAAGTTTTTTAAGTCCTCTTCACATTCAGCCAGCAAAGTTATATCATCAGCATATCAAAGGTTGTTAAAGACTCTCCCTCCAATCTTGATGCTATGTTTGTTCTTCCTCATACAATTCAGCTTCTCAGATTACTTGCTCAGCATACAGATTGAATAAGTAGGGAAAAGAATACAGCCCTGGTGCACACCTTTCCTGATTTTGAAGCATTCAGTGTCCCCTTGTTCTGTTCTGTTCTGGTCTGGTTGGAATAGACTGCTATTTTATACTTTCCTGCCCTCAGATTTGACAGTATCCTGCTCTTTGAGAGCTTCATCTCCCAGGAAAAATTCCTTTTCTTCTTTCTGCTCATTTGGCTATTTGTTGCCTTCAGGAGATTTGCCCTGAAATATATTACAGATTTACAAAAATCTCTGTTTGTCCACCCATTTTTTAAAATGTTTTATTGTGAATTATGTAATAGTTTACATGGGAGAACATTAGTTTTACATTCATCCTATCATATGTCGTTTCATTGCCATGGTTACAATCCACTCCATGCATCATCAACCAACCAAAGGGTGTCCACCCATTTTTAAACTATCATTAGACAGTTCTTGTATGTGGCCAGGTACAGGTTTAGATTTCCATCAGCATGTGGTGACCTAACAAGATAGAGAAAGGTTGTCGCCACATGAATACCAACAGATGACTTTCACATTTGAGTGTGTGCACAGATATGTGTGTGTACATATGTGTGTGTGCTTTAAGTAATATTTTATTGAGGTTCCAGTGAATGGCTACATAGCAGTTTAGGTTCCCCTTCATCAGCTTCTACAAGTTATTCAATAACAATGGCTGCATTCTTCACAGTGCATGAACTGTCTCGCTACTTTCATTCTGGTTGTTTCATTTCCTTTTATCTGGCTTCCCTACCCTTCCTCATGTTCTTATCTTTGTTTTTAAATAATTATTTGCCATTTGGGTTCATATAGGTGATTTTAAGAAGGAACACAGTGCTCCGGGATGATATTCACAATTTTGGAGCCATTTTGTGATTTAGGTGACAAGGTGCAATTATTATTTGTTTAGTTTTGAGGAACTGAGAGAAGAGAGTTGGGTGGGACCTCGGCAATAATCATACCCAGGTGAGCATCATCACCACACTCTGACTTGGATGTGGGAAGTACCCAGGATTTGTCATTGCATGGTCTGAGTTAACCCAGGATACACACGCAGTATGCAGAGACCCAGTTTCCCTATTGGTAGAGACAAGGTGTGCCTGCTAGTTTAGAGGTCATAGAGCTTCACAGTTGGAAGAACATCTCTAGAGAACCACAATGATCACCTCGTCTCACAGCTGCAGAACAGCCATCTAGAAGTAGAACGTGACTTTTCCTAGCCATCGTCCATCCCAATTAGAACTCACATCCCTTCTGCCTCCTACTCTCACACTCCTATGTCACACCCTACTGCCATCACCTACAAATGACTTCTAACGGCTCTCATAACTCCAAATCCCCTATTCCCTCATGTCTCAGGATTGCTAGCCATCTAGAAAGTCACTGTCTTCTCGGCGCCATAGATCACCAATGACAATGCGCAGTTCTCTTCCTCTTCTACTTGGGTGATCTGATCCTTTATAATACTCTCAGAACTGAAATCTGTGTCTCTGATCCTGCAGTCCTGAAATAAAGCTTCAGAATCTTCCCATTGATGGGAAAAGCTCTGTAGTTTCTTCCGCCTTGGCCATTACAGAAACAGACGCTTAAAACAGAGAATGAGGCTGGAAAACTTCCAATTCGTCCCACCCCCACAATAGGGAGTCCTTCAGTAGCTGGAAGACTGAGTTTTACGAACTCCCATACGACTTTTATTTTTCTTTGTTTCACTCTTTCTTGTCATAGAAAGTGAAGCAATAAATGTGGGAACATTGAGTGATCTGTGATTTCATTTTCCAACCTGTATGAAGACAGAGTTTTGGTGGTGCCACAGTGGTTAAGTGCTTGGCTGCTAATCAAAAGATAGGTGGTTCAAACCCACCTAGCACCTCCACAGGGAAAAACCTGGCGATCCGCTCTCGTAAAGAGTGTTGTTGTTGTTGTTGTAAGTGCCGTCGAGTTGGTTCTGACTCAGTCAACTTGTAAAGGGTTTCCAAGGAGCAACTGGTGAGTTTGAACTGCTGACTTTGTAGTTCAAACCAACCTTGCAGTCCAGTGCTTTATCCTATACTGCTACACCAGTAAAGCTAGAAAATCCTATGGAGGAAGTTCTACTCTGTCATGTGAAGTCACTGTGAGTTGAAATCAACCCAGCAGTACCACCAACAATGCATCAAGTGTACAGTTGATGTATCCATCCTGTGTTCAAGGGTAATCATGTCAGCTTTTAAAATAACCATGTTAAACACTAGAATCAGCATGAATGCCCATTCATAGGGATCTAGACTGAGTTAGACACCACCAGAAATTCAAATCCCATTACCATCAAGTTGGTTCTGACTCATAGCAACCCATTGTTGTTGTTAAGTGCCATCTAGTTGGTTCTGACTCATAGCAACCCAATATGGGTTGCTGAGGAGCAGCTGGTGAGTTTGAACTAACAGCTTTGCAGTTCAAACTGACCTTGCAGTCCAGTGCTCATCCTACAGTGCCACACCAAGCCTCCTAGAAACCCTATGTTGTTGTTGTTGTTAAGTGCAGTCAAATCGATTTCAACTCATAGCAACCCTGTATAAGGTTTCCAAGAAGCAACTGGTCAGTTGGAATCACCAACCTTGTGATTCAGACCAACTTTGTGGTGCAGTGTTTATCCTACAGCACCACACCAGGACTCCAGCAGTCCTATTGTAAGTTATTGTTAAGTGCCATCGAGTCCGTTCCAACTCATAGCAACCCTGTATAGGGTTTCTAAAGAACAACTTATGGGTTTGAACTGTCAACATGGTGGTTTGATGTCCAGTGCTGATTCTACAGCACCACACCAAGAGGCCTTTAGGACACCAGCAGCCCTATAAGACGGGAGTGGTGGTGGGGGGTCTCCCTAGGGTTTCTGAGACTAATTCTTTATGTGGACAGACAGCTCGTCTGTCTCCTACAGAGGGGTGAGTTTGAACTGCAGACCTTAGCCCAACACTTACTTACTGTCTATAAGTTACGCTGCTATTGTTGGGTGTCTTCAAGTCAGTCTTAACTCATAATGGCCCATGTGACCGAGTCGAACCACCCTATTGGATTTTCTGAGTTGTCATCTTTAGGGGAACAGACTTACAGGACTTTCCTTCAGTGTAGCTGCCAGCTGGGTTCAGTCTACCTACTGTTAGGTCAGTGGCCCATTGTTTGCCATTGCACCACAAGAAAGAACTCACCATGTTTATAGACATGGAAACAGTCACTCTGGAAAACAAGGAACCATTTGTGGAGTAGTTCCCATCGTACATACATTGTACATATATCATACATACAACTCATGGGCCAGTTTTTTGTGTGTGTGAATGACCTTTTATTGGTATCGAGCCAAGGCCATTGTTGTTGTAACGTCCATTTGTACATTTTCTGTGCCTGCTTTTATGTGGCAGCTACAGGCCCAAGTAGCTGGGTCAGCCTGTCTGGCACTCAACACCTCAATTATTTACTATCTTGTCTTTACAGTTTGCCAGCCACTGTTTTAAAAGTTGCATGTGTGCACCTAAATAATTTGGAAGGCTGTTCACCAATATGTTATTAGAGGTAGCCTCTGGCTTCTGGAATTTAGCTCCGTTTTAATTATATTGGACATTTCTGTGTTGTTTGCTTTTAAAACATTACCAGACCGTAAGTCTGGTAATAGAAACTTGTTTCTCTCTAGTTCATTTTCACTATTCCCCACTCTACCACTGAATTCTCCTGTCTCGTAATGGTCTGTTTGGTACCAATGCAAGCCTCTCTAACTAGACCGCTGTTCACTATTCAGTGTTCAGGAGAACTGCTTAGTAAACTAGCCAACTCGACTGTTTACTCACTTGGGTATATGATGCTTTGTGTCTTTATTTAGCTGTCTCTTGTAAGTTGAGAAGCAAAGGTGCTGGCTTTTATCCTCTAATTAAAAATAGATCCTCTTTATGATGAGGCACTGGTGTGCCCATGAGTCATCATGGGCAGCATGAAAGCTAGTGTGTGATGCTGGATCAGACCTCAGGAGGCCAACCCCGAGATGGTACCCAGCCACCCCCCATGACTCCCTGGTTTCTTGTCATTTCAGGAAGCTGGACGCTTTCATCTACGATGCGGCCGTCTTGAATTACAAGGCTGGGAGGGATGAAGGCTGCAAGCTGGTGACCATCGGGAGTGGGTACATCTTTGCCACCACTGGTTATGGAATTGCCCTCCAGAAGGGCTCCCCTTGGAAGAGGCAGATTGACCTGGCCCTGCTGCAGTTTGTGGGTGATGGTAAGACCTGGGGTAACCCCTGCTTTCTTTGGGACCAGGTTTTTAGTTGACTTCCCAATGGGTCTTTGTGTGATGGGTTTGCTCACTGAAAGTATTCAGAGATTGAGTGCTTAGTCCGTGATACCATTTTCTTCAGTTCATTTATCATGGGTACCAAATCTAGACAACTTAAATTTTAACAGGAATGTACTCTAAGAATATAGGAAGAAATATCACATGGGATTTGGGGGAAAGTGAAACAAATAGTCTTAGAGGAAAATAGGGTAGTCGTAGGCCTTTCAAACAGAAATTCTCTGGAATAGCTCCTCTCTTGAAGTCAGTGGTTCTGTATTGGGGAGGAAGGGACACCCAGGGGACATTTGAAAATGCCTTGAGACAACTTGTCACAACTTGGTGGAGGTGCAGGGTACTTTGTTTGCTACTGGCATCTAGTGGGTAGAGGTCAAGGAGACTTGTGAACATCCTACAATGCATACTGTCATCTTCACAGCCAAGAATTTTCCAGTCCCAAGTGTCAACCGTGCTGGGTGGAGAAACTCTAATTCAGAGCAATAGCATTGCATCACTAGGCTATACTATGTTCTGATCTCTCTTCTCTAAATTCTGAAGTTGAAATTCCAGAGGAAGGATCTCTAATGCTCTGGGCTAACTTCTTCCTAGAGTCCTCAGGGTCTGGACCCTGGGCCCACCAGCAGGTGGAGCTCTGCTGTACTAATATGGCAGCTCCTCGTACTTCCTAAGAAGGAAGGAAGCAGAGTCCATATTTGGAAAATGAATGGTGAGCACAATTCTCATGGGGTGACACTACAGTCCACCCCTTGACTTCCTCTCGTGCAAACCATATAGTGTCTGCCCTTGTGGGTCTTGCAGTCTAATGGATCCATGGCATATACGGACCTTTCAGCTCATTGAACTGATTGTTTCCAGCACAATTTCCTTCTTGGTCTGTCCTCCTGTGCTTCATAGTTGAAGATTGCAATCAAAGCCCAAAGTTTCCCAAGAGCATATTTAGACTCTTTCATGAGTTATGTGGCGTGATGTTTCCCTTTGAATACCAACACTGAGAAAGCAAAATCAAAGTCAACCACAGATGGAAGATTTACTCCCCCAAATTGGAACAAGTTGAAATATGATACAATTGCTGAAAGCATAGGGCAGAAGCAGGGTGGAGAAACTATTCAGAGATGGTTACAGAATCTGTTGCACCACATAGAAAATCAAAATGGACAGAGGCACAGAACAAAGTGCATTGAACTTCTGAAGAACAAAGACTCCAACCCTCATATTCTTGGTTATCCTAAAGACAGAAACCCACCAAATATGTTACATCTAGAATTTTAAATCTTCCATAATCTGGTGCCGTTTCATCACCTCTACCCACTTCCAGATCTAAACCCTAGATTCTCATGGTGGCATCAAGAATTTGGGGTGTATTAGATCTTTAACTCCCAAACGAGGACAACCAATTCTTTGGATCCCTTGTAGAATATCTGTACCTTCTTCAGATCACTTTTCATGTTCTTGGTTGTGATTGGTGACTGTGCTGGTCAGCTGTTGCTGTGAAACTGTGGAGGCAGACAGCAGAGAGTGTTTCCCTTGCTCAGAGGAGTGCAGGTCGATTGAAAAAGCGCTGTGAAAGATGTGGCGGCCCCACTTCCTGCTGCATACCCAGGGGTCACCTGTATGGGTTCTGCTTCATGGGTGTCCATGCCAAGGTATCAGGCTAAAGGAGAAGCTTCTACCTGAGGAAGCTCTTTCCTTGACCATATTGAGGCAGAGAAAAGCACACTGGCTGCCCACACACATTTCCAGGCTTTGTCATCATATTTGCTCACATTCTTCTGTCCAAAGCAAGTCTGGCTAAGCCCAAGGTCAAAGGATGGAGACGTATACTCTCCATTGTTGTGGGAGGAATGTCTGAGTTATAAAGCAAGGAATGTGAATACAGAGAAAGTGAAGAATTGGGCCATTTGTTCTCCCTGTTGTCATTAGCAGTGGTTGAGTTGGCCTTGACCCATGGTTGCTCCAAGCACAATGGAGTTGGACCTTTATGGTCCATAGGGTTTTCGCTGACTGACTTTCAGAAGTTGATCACCAGAGCTTTCTTCCTAGTCTTAGTATGGAAGCTCCACTGAAACCAGTTTAGCATTATAGCAACACACAAGCTCCACCAACAGATTGGTGTTTGGCTGCACATGAGGTGCACTGACCAGGAATCAAACCCAGGTCTCTTACAAGGAAGACAAGAATTCTACCACTCAACTACCACTGTCTCCTTGTTCTATCTACTACTAGTTTAAAAACCAGTGGCTACTGGGTCAGTTTTCACTCACTGCGACCCCATGTGTGTCAGAGTAGAACTGTCCTCCGTAAGATTTTCACTGGCTGATTTTTCTAAAGTAGATTCATAGACCTTTCTTCTGAGGTGCCTCTAGGTATACTAGAACTGTCAGCCTTTCTGTAAACAGCTGAGCTCACTAACTTTTTATACCTCCCAAGAACTCCAGTATACCACGTTGGTTCCCTACATGGAATTAGCAACTCAACCAAAAGGAACCTTGTTTGTGGAAGTAAACAGCACAAAACCTGGAATATAACAGGGAAATAGAAGATAGAATTCAATCATACATGAATGAATGATGTTGGGACAGATTCCATTTGACATGGAACCTTTAAATGTGATGGGGTAGCTGTCCAGGAAGTGAATTCTAACGCTAGCCCTGCCTTCAATTTCTGTCACCCTCTCAACATCTGTGATGAAACAGTCAACACATTTAGGAAACAGTATGTGCCAGTCACCCTACTGTGCAGACCATGTGTTCTATCATCTTTCCAACAGTTCTCTCAGGTTCAATGTTGCTTTTATCCCCATTTTACAGAGGAGGGCTTGTGTGTTTGACCTAGTAAGTGGCAAATCCTCTAGTTCAGGAGCCTGCTTCGGACAAGGGGTCAATTAGGCAAGATTCTGTATTGCATTTTATTTTCTAAGATGTCTACAAAAACTGATAAGTTTGATGCTAAGCCCATTTGGAATGAGCAATTTATGTCTATCTGAATGAAATTTATTGTCTTTTATTCAATATTCATAATTAAATTCATAAGTACTTCTGTAAAGGAACAATCTTTCTTACCTAAGTTTACTGCTCTGTGAATGCATACAGTAATATTTACCTGGAAGAAAATATCTTATGAGAACGAAATGGGAGAATACATGCAAAGAGCTTAGCACTGTACCCAGGAACATAGAAATCACTTAATCAGTGTTAGCTGCTACTGTCATCCTCACCACCATCCTCATCACTATCACCAACATTACCCCATGATCACCACCATCACCATGACCACCATTATCACCACTATCATCATTGTCATCACCATCACCACCATCCTCCTCACATTATCACCATGACCACCACTATCACAACCACAGTCACAACCATCACCACTATAACTGTCATTACCAACATCATGAGTACCATCACCATCATGACTGCTATCACTGCCACCAAAACCATCATCACCATCACCGTCATCACTGTCAACATCACCACCACCACCACCACCATCATCATCATCATCATCATCACTACCAATCCCCATTACTGCCACTAACTCCATCACCACCATCATCATCATCACCATCATTGCCATAACCATCACCATCACCACCACCATCACCATCATTGCCATAGCCATCACTGTCAACATCACCACCATCATCATCACCATCACCACCACCAATCACCATTATGACCTCCATTACTGCCACTAACTCCATCATCACCATCACCATCATCATCACCATCACTGCCATAACCACCACCATCATCACCACCCTCACCATCATTTTCATAGCCATCACTGTCAACATCACCACCATCATCATCACCATCACCACCACCAATTACCATTATGACCTCCATTACTGCCATTAACTCCATCATCACCATCACCATCATCATCACCATCACTGCCATAACCATCACTGTCAACATCCCCACCATCACTATTATCACCACCAATTACCATTATGACTTCCATTACTGCCATTAATTCCATCACCACCACCATCATCATCACCATCACTGTCATAACCATCACCAACATCATCACCATCATCACCGTCACCATCATCATGGTCACCGTCAGTGTCAGTGCACAAACCCTATATTCAACTGCATATTCACTGTGGCATTGGCAATAATGTGGCCAAGTCAATATCACAAGAGCAACCTTTATGGTTCTGCTCAATGAATTTCCCCTTTGTGGCAAAATAGAGAAAACAATGGGCAAATGCATCCATAAAGTGTAGAGGTGTGCCCCTTGTATTTACAGAGCACTAGGTTTCACAAATACTTTCTGTCCTAACTCTTTGGTTTCCTGGTCAGAATGCCAGGATTGGGTACTGTGTCTTCTCAGCTTCATCTTTAAGAGGCCATCTGGAGGCAAAATCATGGGAGAAAAGATGACGTCGTTCCAGGGGGCGTCTTAAGATAATCTTTCCGGAAAGCCATGTCCAATTCTGAATGTCTCTCTAGGAGTAAATACATGAATTAACCCAGCTGCATAAATATTTCACTTATCTTATGCAGCTTCACCAGGATTAATTATGCTCTAAAATTAGACCTGTTAAAGAGCAAAGTGCCGTGCGTACCTAATTATTATTCATCCTCTAGAATGGAGTGTTTATCCCTTGTTATGGAGTAGCTTTGGTGGATGGTTACGAGTCTAATGAGTGTAAAAAGTATTTTAAAATTCCTAATGAGCTGTGTAAATATAACCTTTGAGTGGAGGGTTTGGTTCTTGGGGGACTGTCTTACGTGAAGCCCACCAGGCATTTCTCTACACAGAAAGGCTACTAATTTGCCTTCAGAAATCACCCAGGCTCCCAGTCTTCTTCCTTGTCTTTTCCCAGCTAATTGTGCCCTTTCTAGAATGATGGGGCATACCAGAGGACTTTGGCTCTCGGTAGTTTATTAACACTCATGAGTACTTTCATC